GCGTGTGTTTGTGTGTGTGTGTGTGTGTGTGTGTGTGTGTGTGTGTGTGTGTGTGTGTGTGTGTACAACTTGGGACCAGTTCTCTCCTTTCACCATTGTGGGTCTGGAGAGCAAACTCAAGTCTTCAGGCTTGTGGCAGACACCTTTATGTACTGTCATCTCTCCACCCCGATTCCAAGCCTCTTATTCTTTTGGGCCACTCCAGAACTTCCAGATGGCCTTCCACAGCCTCAGTCCCAGTGTTCTCTGTTTCCTGCTCTGTGTCAGCCTAACATGGTGGGTTCAGTTCTCCATACCGTGCTACAGACACCCAGGGTGGCCAGTAAAGTCCATAAAATTGCTTTGTGAAGAGGCCATAAAAAGTGTGTATTTAATCAACAGGTGTTCCAGTCTGGGTCTGCTAGTCCTTCATTGACAAGTGTTCAGGGCAGGGTTCTACCTGTGGATACTAAATGAATCACCCTTGTTCTCCTTGCTCTAGCGTGATGTACACTTTGAAGAAAGAGAAGTCAAGTCAGTCCTATTGAGGAAGAGAGCCTCTGAGCCAGACCTCCATATCTGCTCCTCACCCCACACTAGCACCTGGGGGCCACATGGGCTCACGAGGTGCAGATGGAACAGTGAGCACAGACCATACAGGACGTCTGACTGGCTTCTTGGGTTCACTGCTGAGTTACCCATTGGTAGGGGGTTCCCAAGGGAAACTTTTGGAATCTAGGGGAGAGAGGGACAAAGGTTATGAAGGGCTATAGCCTGAAAGCCATGTCAGGGCTAAGATGCCCCAGAGAATGGGGAAGAATTGGCCAAGGATGTCTCCAGGATGACTCCACTGTCTCTAGACTGAGCGAGTTTGCCTCCATCTCTGTTGAGGGTTCTGTTCTCCAGTGTTCCCATGAAAAGCATCAGGCATAGCCAAGGTGGAAGCCTTTACAGTGAACACCTGTCTCCTGGGCCTGCATTAAGCTCCTTTGTCTATTCACAATCCATCTTACCCTTTGACTGCGTTCTCAAGTAAAATGCAAATTCCAGGTGTCTTAGTCAGTGTTCTATTGCTGTGAAGAGACACCATGACCACAACAATTCTTTTTTGGTTTTTCGAGACAGGGTTTCTCTGTTTTGGTTCCTGTCCTGGAACTCACTCTGTAGCCCAGGCTGGCCTCAGACTCAGAGATCTGACCGCCTCTGCCTCCCGAGCACTGGAATTAAAGGTGTGCGCCACCACACCCAGCTTCAGTGCAGTTCTTTGTTGAGGATTTTAAGTGTAAAAGTAGTATGTGTTCAATCATTCAAGACAATATAAAAGAACATCAGAGCACTTTACTTCTAATCCTACTTTGTGTCACTTTAAAGGTGTATTTTTCAGGATTTTTCTTTACCTGCACACAGTTATATGTGGTATCTAGTGCTTAAGTGAATGGGACTGGCCACTTTGGGTGTTCCTACACTTGCCAGGTCTGGAGTGTGAGGTGACAGTGTTGTGGCAGACCATTGTCCATCTCCTTTCTTAGTTCATATTACACTTTCTGTTGTATCCTTGGCTTAGCTAAATGTTAAACCCAGTGGCCAGGAAACACAAGTGATTTCTCTCACAACTCCTAAGGATATAAATGTCAATATCAGATTTTATCTATTTTATTCCTTTGCCCCAGGATTCTTGGGCAAGGGACTTTGAGCCTATGAATAATTGCCCCCCACCCCCCACCCCCTTTTTTTTTCTTCCTGAGACAAGGTTTCTCTGTGTAACCCTGGCTGTCCTGGAACTTACTCTGTAGACCAGGCTGGCCTCAAACTCAGAGATCCGCCTGCCTGTGCCTCCCAAGAGCTGAGATTAAAGGCATGCGTCACCACCGCCCAGCTAAATAATCCATATTTTATGGGTCCTTAATAGTTTTCTTTCCACCAAACAACAGTGGAAAGAGAAGTCACCAGAACAAAGGACCCTAATCCTGGACCATCCTCAAGTCCCCTGACAATGGCAAGACATGACTTCTTTGGTTTCCTCATTCACAGGATGAACATGACACTTAATGCCTTGCCTGGCTTGTAAGATCCTTCGACTCAAAGAGAAACATAGACACAGAATCTCATTTTAATCATTGCTACAGCTGGGGACTGATGGTCTGCTCAGTGGGAAGTGATCTAAGCTCTCCTTCCTGAACAGCCATAGCCTGCTCACTTGATGTTCTCTTGTGGTTTGGGTGATTTCCGGGTGATTCCATGTCACCTCTGCATTACCAGGCCTGCCTATGGCTTTACTAGAGTTTAGTCTAAACTTTCTCCTTGGACAGTCTCTTTAGTCTGTTCTCTGTACATGTTGCCCCGTATCTATTCTGAACCCCACATCTAGACTAAAGCAGATTTCTGGAAAGCTCCACTGGTATGTGTCTATGGAGACACTCAGTAGACAGCTGGATTCGTCACTCTGACCTTGCCTTTTCCTGTGGAGTCTCTAATGACTTGCCATGCTCTCGCCCTACCCTGTGAGCAGTGTGCTGTTGCTGCGTGCTCAGAGTGCCTCCAGAGTGAGGTTCCACAGCACAGCACGAAGCTGCCCTAGGGACTTGGCTTCACCCCTGCTTATGACTCCTTAGGCTCTTTGCAACCTGCCTTAGCCCGTTTCCTCAAGTTCCCAAGTGTCTGACACTGTTTCCTTTGCCTGGAACCTAATCCCTCCCACCCCAGCCTGTGCCCTTGACTCCTATCACTGTGAACTTCTCCAAAGCTGTCCTTGAACAGTCTGAGTAAGCACTTTTCTTCCATACCCCTAATACCTGGTTCAAGCTTCTGGTTCAGAAGGCTCTTCTAGTTACTGCTTATTTCTCCCATTGCTGTTCCCCCCCCCCCCACATACACACACACATACAAAGCATACATAGTGCTTTGGATCATGTAAGTAGTTCCTAGACCTGTGTTTGCTCTGTGCCACGCACCTGCTGCTGATTAACCCCGTTGGTCTCTCTGTCTCTCTTGCAGATGACGTGCTGACTAAAGATGCGGGGGAGTGTGTCATCTGCCTGGAGGAGCTGCTTCAGGGGGACACGATAGCCAGGCTGCCTTGCCTGTGCATCTATCACAAAAGGTACAAGGGCCTGCCTGGCAAGAACCATGTAACAAATCCCACATCCACAGGGTAGATAGCCCTCGCCAGCCATTCAGTCCTCTTTGGCTGTGGGATGGCCTGTACACCCTTTGCTCTCTGAGAGAGGTCAGGCATCTACTGTACTGGTGGAAGACTCAGTCATAGCAAGGGCAGAGCAGAGGTGAATTGCTCAAGGTTCAACTCTGCTTCGGCAGTTCAGATGGTAGGAGCTGTGGGCAGACCTGGTTTGGAGTTCTCCCGAATCCCACCTGAAGCTTGACTGCCTTCCTTCCCTCTGAACCCTGTCCTGCAGAGGGAGAGGTAGCAAGGGTAGAACAGCTGTCCTTGGCGGCCTGTGAGACACCTCCTCCCCCAAGGGCCAGGAGGCAGGAAAAGCCACTACCTGTAAGTACTGAGAGCTGCTATAATTAGCCAGGCCAAGATTTGTCCTCTACCTTCAGCAGTATCCTTTTTTTTTTCCTAACTGGAAAGAAGACACCACATTGCCCAGGACAGTACCCCTATGTTCCTGTGGCCACCACCTGCTCTCTGCTCCTCCAGCCGGCACTGGTTCCTGGCACGGGGGCTTTCCTAAGCCCAGCCCAGGACTGCTGGTCTGCGGTGTCACAGCTGTGCCTGGCTGGCGTGTGGCTGGCCTATGGGAGAACTGGTTCTTGGTCTGGTTTCCACCACAGATCCCTGCAGCATCCCAGGCAGGCACTAACCAGAGCTGGGAAAGAAACCCCCTGACCCTGCTGGGGAAAGCTAAGCAAATGATCTTTTTGGTCACTCTCCTTGAAAATGCCCAGATGTGGGTTTACAAAACAGGACAGTGTCCTGGGGCCCTTGCTGTTTCTTCTGGGATGCAGACAGTCCTCTATAAACACTGGAGAGGGAGGCCTTGCTGCACCCCTTCCCAGGCTCACCTACTTAGCAGTGTCAAAGAACCCAAGGGTCTAGCTCCCCTTCCTAGTGTTGCTAGGCAGACTTGGAGCTTCTGAGAGGGGTGCCCCCATCACCTCAGATCTGGCCACATTTGTCACTGGCCAGCCTCTCCTGGTCCCACTTTCTGCCCTCCTCAGAGACAGTGAACCTGCTGCTGCTCTATGTAGCCCACCTGCTCTCACCTTCTTAGTGTTAACTGCTGCTGTCCTGGGCTCCTGGGCTCGGGCTTTGGGCCTTACAAGGCCGCTCTTGCCCTTCCTGCAAAGCCAGATCTACCAGTCTGTACCTACTGGCCTGCCTCCTGCTGAGCCACAATCATTCTTTTTTTATTCTTATTTTTTTAAATAATTTATTTAACTTTATTTTATGTGCATGAAGGAATCAGATCCCCTGGAACTGGAGTTGCAGACAGCTGTGAGCTGCCCTATGGGTGCTGGGAATTGAACCTAGGTGTTCTGGAAGAGTAGCCAGTGCTCTTAACTACTAAGCCATCTCTCTAGCCTCCCCCTGCCCAGGATCATTCTTTATTTTTTTTTAAAGACTTATTATTTGATTTATTGAGACAGGTCTCACTATGTAGCTTCGGCTGTCCTAGAGCTTACTTTGTAGACTAGGCTGGACTTGAACTTACAGAGATCTACCTGCTTTTGCTTCCCGAATGCTGGGGTTAAAGTTGTGCATCACCACCACACCAGCTTATTTTTTTTTTTTTATTTGATGTGCATGGGTATTTTGTTTGCATGTATTTTTATGATGTGTGTGCCTGGTGCCCACTGAGACCAGAAGAGGGCATTGAATCCCCAGGAACTGGAGTTAAAGATGTTTGTGAGCCACTATGTGAGTGCTAGGAACTGAACCTGGCTCTTCTGAAAGGACAAGCAGGGCTTTTAGGCACTGAGCCATCTCCTCAGCCCTCAGGATCATTCTTTAAAAAAAAAAAAAATACACATACATATATATTAGTTTTAAATTGTGGGGGGGAGGGGGTGTGCGCATCTGACTGCAGGAGCCTACCAAGGCCAGAAGAGTCAGATCCCCCTGGAGCTGCATTTACGGGTTGGCTGTGAATCAGCAGATATGGGTGCTGTGAACCAAACTTGGGTCCTCTGGAAGAGCAGCATGTACTCTCAACCACTGACCCATCTCTCAGGCTCCCCCTCTGCCCCTGCGCCCTCAGATCATTCTTGATATTCTCCCCTTTTTCCGACTTCAAGCGGGTAGGGGACATAATAATTTTTCCCTGGGTCCTTTCAGGAGAGATTTGGAAAACCCTCCCCCAGAGCCCAACCCCTGACAGGACCCCTTGCAGGAGCATTGACATTCATCAATAACTGATGTGTCTCCCTTGGTACCCGCTCCAGCTGCATAGACTCCTGGTTTGAAGTGAACAGATCTTGTCCAGAGCACCCTGCTGACTGACCCTGCTGGGCTGGCTTGCTGACTCCTCTCAAAGGTGAGCCCATAGTTGGTGGGGGCTCTGGGCTTACAGGGTCAAGTTTCTGGGAGTTGGGGGAGAGGGGGCAGACTGCCTGATACACACCCCTCCAAGGAGAAAGCAGAAGCAGAGAGGAGGACAGGAACCATGTCCTCAGTGAGCAGTTCCCAGGGTGTGGGGGTTTTCCTGGGGAAGCCTAAGGAGGGACAGTAGCATGCTCATGAAGAACTCGGGGCAAAGGTAGAATCCCATTCCTTTCCCCGAGAAAGGCGGGTCCCCTGCAGAGTGCATGGGCTGAAGCGGATGAGCCCCAGCCGCTCTGCGGCTGCCTCTTTACAGCAGCTGTCTTGTCCTTGCTCACCTCCTGGCTCTGGAGGCTCCATTTCTCTAGAAATGGAGGACTCACTAAATAGAGACCTGTGGAACTCAGTGTCCACTGCAGAGTGCTTGTCTGAGCTCTTTTCACTGCTGGTTCTCCCCTGCTGGCCACCTTACCCCACTTCTAGGGGACTCTGAGGGCTCCCGGCCATACCCAGCCCTCCGTCCTCAGCACAATGTCACAGTAATGGCAGCAGGCCAGCATTTCAACTCCCTCCCACACATGCATATGTATCTCCAGTGTGAGTGTTCCATTTCCTCCCAGGGTGCCTTGTTTAACTGCTAACCCCTCTCCTGGTCTCCTATCCCTGCCCTACCTGTGCTTTCTGAGGCCTGTGCTGGCATCCTCTCCCCCCCCCCCCTCTCTCTCTCTCTCCCCCCCTGGCTTCTTGCCCCCCCCCCCCTCATTCTCTCTTTCTGGCAAACAAAACCTAAGTCCCAGACAAACCAATAGCGCATTTCCACTTCATCTCACATCCAAAGGTTTGGGGGGAATTTCTTTTCTTCTCTTTCTCTCTTTTGTTCTGTTTTCTTTTGTTAGGTTTATTTTATTTATTCCAAGTAAATGCCCAGACCAGCTGACGGTGTCAGGCAAATCAGGGACATTTGCTCTTTTTACCTTCACCTCAAACTCTGATGACAAGGGGAGAAGACAGAGCAAGGGTGAGAGTGAGGCAGGGGATTGGACCCTGGCTTCAGGATGCAGGTCCAAATTGCCGGCATGATGTTTGGCTTCCGGGGGCCTGCCTGGACTGAACCAGACACCCCGGCCGACCAGCCTGCCCTCGGGACACGCTGCGCTGCTGCCAGTTCCCGGCCGGATGGAGCGCGACTGACTTCTTCCGACCCACACAGGGACGGACAGCCCTGGGCCTGGGAGGAGGCTCCTCGGACACTGGACAGAGCTGAGCTTGGGACACCAGAGGGACAGGGCACCCCTTCTGCACTGACTTCCAGAACATGGTCCTCCCTCCTCCCTGAGGACACCCAACTGATTGAGAGCGAGTCTGAGAGAAGAATGAATTGACCTCTATTCTCCCCCTCACCTTCAACCCAGGAGGGAAAGGGCATTTTCTTTTTCACCTTTGAAAGGCGTTGTGGGTCTGTCTTTAAAGTGTTTACAACAACAAAAAAATTATATAAAAAAAGTCTAGTGTCGACTGGTGTTTTCCCTCGTGATGTTTACAGATTGCTGTTTGCTGCCCAGCTGAAACCCACTCAGTGACAGAACCAGGCCTAGCCATGTCTTCTCCGCTATACTCTGACGGCGGGCGGGCGGGCACACGGGCACTTCCTTTGCCCAGTGCCCCAGTTGGCTCTCTGTATCACCAACCTTTCTACTTTGGGGGGGTTCGTTTTTTTGTTTTCCTGTTTTTCTGTCCCATCTTTCTGGCTTGGTTTTGCACTTTTCTCCCTTAGTACCCTGATACCTTGATTTCCTTGCCAAAAACGAAAAAGGAAGACGCAGAAGAGCCCATCGAGGACACTTCCCCCCCTCCATTCCCATGTCTTCCCTGCCTTCCTCCTGGATCTGGTCCAATCAGAGGATTTAACAATCACAAATACACTGAAAAAAATGCCTGGACAGTTTTCTTAGGCCCTTGTGGTTTGGTTGGGTTTTGTTTTTTTCTGAGAAAACTTAGACTAACTAAAGGAACATGTACTGCTACCCCTGTTTTCAGGCACACTGAGAACATTTTAGCCATTGATGTTCACACGTGGCATCAGCCCATGCAGGATAGGTTTCTGTATTTATATATTAAAATACAAAAAAACAAAAAAAACTCACAAAATGTTTTAAAATGTTCAAAGCTCGGGAGAAAAGCTTTTCTTCATCAGTCAAGGTGTTTTGATATGGTATTAAAATAATGTCTAATAAAAGATGCACCGTGTGATCTTATTTTAATGAAGTGTTGTTACACAGTCAGGAAGTGGAGGGCAAAGGCCAGTTCCCTCTGTCCGCCTCCCCAGCCCAGCGCTCCTTTAGTACCTGTAGTGGCTCGGCCACGCCTGGGCAGAGGCTAGGCAATGGTGGCTCAGGTGTGTCTTTCAAGTTTATGAATTCTTAAGCATCATGGAGTAATTGTCAGTCTGCTGTCATTGCTGGTTGTGATGGAATGTTTCTGGGAAGATATTCGGGGGCAAAGATCTTGCGGTCGTCAGGTGCTGCAAGGATGTGGGCACCTCCAGGTCCCAGCCCAGCCCGTCTCTCACACAGCCTGTGTCTGCTCCCCGTCCTGCATTCTGCTTGCCTGATGCTCCATCACAGCTCAGTGCTGACTCATGGGCCTGCTTCACTGAGGCCCAGAAAGAGGCCCTGGTTTGGAGCTGTGCCAACTCACAGTCCCTGAACCAGAACCAGGCACTTGGTCTCATAAAAGTTGGCAAATTGCAGGCTGGGCAGGAAACTCAGGGCAGGGGGCGGCAGTGCATGCCTGCCCCATCTCCTAGCCAGGCTCCAGGAGTTGCATTTCAGAGCCTCCTGCCAAGCCAGCTAAGGAAAGCTCTGGAGGGAGATGGCTACATATCTCTGCCATGACCGTTTCCAGGCCTGCCCCTTGTACTGCTGCCTTGGGGCCCAGTCCCAACAGGCCCTCAAGTTTGGACTGTGCTACCATACTTGCTCTGAGGTCACCTTTCCTCAGATGCTTCCTGAAGCAACTACTCTGTGCACGGACATTTGTTGGAGGCCAGTGGACACGTGTGAGCCGAGGCAGGCAGGCGAGCTGAGAGAACTGAGTGCTTTAGAGCCCGAGTGTTGAGACCTCGGGACCTGAACTGGGAGCGCTGTTAATACCAGGAACTGGAATGTCTGTACTGGGGCACTTATTTCCTGGGAGACGGTGAGGAAACAACTCCATCCGACCTTGACTCCTTGCATGTGAAGTGGGGACAGTCATGCAGCTCTGTCGAGTGAGGGTCAGGGGTCTGCCCCCAAAGGCCTGGCACACGCACAGCAGGCTTCCCTGTCGCTTTGTCACTGCAAAGGGCACTGTTCTATTCCCAGCACCTCCAGCTTCTGCCTGGCAACTGTGTCTCCCTGTTCTATATATAATCCTACCAGCAGAGCTGGCGGGCCGGGCCCAGCCCCGAAAGACATCTCCTTGCCTGACCCCTGGGCCTGGAGACAGGCTTTGTGTGCCCACCTTGGCTGTGTGAGCCCGGCCGCTTTGGCAGCGCTGTGGCTGAGTCCGGCGGTTGAGTTGGTTGGGCCAACGCTGGGCCCCACACCGGGTGCTATTCTCGGCTCTCCAGGCGGTGCTCATCTCATCCCCAGTGACTTCCGCCCCCGCCCGGCACACCAAAGCCCTCTGTCGGCTGTCATGTCCTCCGAATTTGGACCCAGATTGCCGGTGCCTGGTGTGAGGGTGGAATAGGCTTGTCTGGGCTTCCCAGGTGGCACTTGGGTCTGTCACCTGCCATCCAGACAGCTCTCTAGAATCCTATGTTGCTCCTGCTCTGCCTTTCTGAGAGGGAAGAAGATCTAGAAGAGCCAAGGGATGGGTTCTTCCCCTTTGCGCTCAGAGCTCAGAAAGTCTGAGTGCTCCAGGAGCCCCTTTTGAAAACCCCATCTACTAGCCATTTAATAGTATTGAAGCTCATAGGAGAATGTCCTTCTTAGGAGATAGATGCTGAATTACATAGTGGAGTGATTTCAGGAAATGTATACTCTAACCCCATGTGGTTCCCCCCAAAATACACAAAGCAAATAAGGCAAAAATGTCCATTGTTGAATCCTCAACGACTGATATTTCAGTGACTAGTGTACTTGTTCTTTCAACTTTTCTGTATGTTTCGAAGTTTCTTTAATAAAAGAAATTGTGGGGAAATGGCTGTTTATTGAGTTCGTACTAGTCGCCTGTTACTGGAGGGTGTGTGGGAGCCCTGCCAGCAGAACTCAATTGGAGGGATTGTGGGAGGGGCAAGCATTTGTCTGGGGGAGAGTTCACTAAAACTCTTTCCCTGGTTGATTGAGTGATGTTTGGGTTTTTACATCCTGAAGTGGTTTGGGAGAGAACCATGAGACAGACATCACAGAGAAGGGGTCCTCAGAACTGAATTTGGACCGACAAAGTACCCGTGGCGGCCTCTGCCCTGGAGCATGGTGGGAGAAGTGGTTAGGAGCCAGGGGTACAAGAGGCTGCTGCTTCCTCTGCCCGTGGTGGCTCCTTCCCGTTTTCTTTGTTTTGTTTTTGTTTTTTTCAACCCAAAAACCTCTAAGTAGGGGAGATGGTGCTCTACAGTTGGCTGGGGCCCACAAGGGGTAAAAAGGTCTAGAAACTGGCCACCTGGCCCTGGAAGGTGGGTGGCCCAAGGCTGGGAACTGCAGGTACCAGTACAAGAGACTGCAGCTGTCCCTAAAATGCTGCTTTGGATTTGTGGTGTCACGCGCCCTCTTGTGGACTTTTGGGGAACAACTGCCACATACCTCCAGACAAGCACTCTGGCCAGGGAATCTCAAAACTGTCAGGCCCCAAAGTGGGTAAGACCCTGACTTTGAAGGTAAGAGTTAGTGGATACTGCATTATACCATGGAGAGGGGTGGTACACAGGGTTATCTCATCTCCATTTCTAATGGCCTACGTAGCAGCAGCTTGAAGAGAGTGTTCCAGCCCAATCCTGATGGGGAAGCTGTCATAAGTGACCTCCACCACAGGTGGGTCTTCTGCCTCAAGTATGCAAAAGCAGAGAGGTTGGGCCTGGCTTTCTTCCAAAGCCTGAACTCCATCCACCTCCGTCCATAGCTGCAAATAGAGTTCATATTCATGGGTGATGGGGCACAAGGAGAAGGCCTAACGATGTGGAATGGAAGGCTCCTTCCCAATGCAGAAAAGGGTTGTGCCTGTCCCTGTGTATAGGATGAATCGCAATGATGCTGGACACCAGCAGGAGAGGCCTCCACAGAGGGATCTGATCTTAGTCTTGGAGTAGACCCACACCATCTCTGCCAGCCAGGAAGAAACTCCACTGGGAAATACCCTGGGTTTTCTACTGGAGCAAAAAGCTAAGGACATCAAGGAAAGTCTCTCTCTCTCTCTGTAAGTCCATCTTCTTCACCCTCACCTTGAGCCCCAGCGACAGAGAGATACCTGGTAGGCAGAGATAGCATCAATCATTCTGTCTTGCAAAGTCAGTGGCAGGAAGGGAAGGTCCAGGACAGGGGCTCTGCATTCTGGGGACTGGGGGCCAAGTGTTTGAAGTTCCTCATAGCACTTTGCCTGGGTTCATGAGACCTCGGGGATCCAGTGTGTCTTTGAGCTGCCGCATAGTCTCCACACCCACGGAGCCCACTTCTTCTTGCAGCAGCCGCCGCTTGCCCATCCCGATGCCATGCTCTCCGGTGCATGTCCCGTGGAGAGCCAGGGCACGCCTAGGAGGTCAATTGAAGGAATTCCTCAGCGGCTCATCTCTGCCTCTGCCCTCCCCAACCCCCACCTTTCCCTGGCTCAGTCCTTACCTGCCCAGGTTTTCTGCAAAGGCCTTGACCTTTCTCTGCTCTTCCACATCATCTGGGTTGACCAGCATGATGCAGTGGAAATTACCATCACCCACATGCCCAACAATGGCTCCTGGGAACCCAGAGAACAAAGCTGATCATCTCTGGCCTCCTTGCTCAGGCCATGGCCAATCCCAATGCCTCCCAGACAGCAAATACATAGAACAGAACCTGTGAGTTGTGAGGCCTTAATCTCCTCCTTGGCCTCTACCAGGATCTCTGGCAACCGGGAGATTGGCACACACACGTCCGTAGAATAAGCCTGAATCAGAAGGCAAGCTTGTGTGGTTCTCCCTATCACCCATTACCTACCCAAAGGTAAGGGATCACTGTGGCTCAGGCTTAGGACCACCAGTCAGGGGATCTTGATGCCATAGAATGAAACATCTGTCCTCTAGCCCACTAGCCTTGGTGTGTTCATTAGCCCAGGTCTCCACTACTCCCCTAGATCCAAGCCTGGACCACATGCAGGTTCCTAGTACCCCACACTACTGAGCTGCATAATCTGCCCAGAGCCCAGCCTTCCCTTCTGGGTAGACTGCTGCCTTCCTTTCCATTTTCCTCCCAGGAGGCCTTTCCTTCATGTTTAAAATTCCTCAGCGTTCAACACTGCACCTGGAGCTAGCTCACATGAAGAATTCCCAGGTTTTGGACCTAGAATTGTTCTCCCTCTAGACTGGTCGGGAGTGCAGGGTTCAAGTGCGAGGAGCGGGGGTCTATAGTCCTGGTCTTCACGCCCACTCAGCCAGCCCTTGGTGAGCCTCAGCCTCCTCCATGCAGTCAAGTAGTGGGGTGAGGAAAGGCATTATGTATGGGCTGAACTGCAGATCCCACCTCCCCCCGAGCCCCCAGCTCACCTTCCGTCCAGGAGACAGCGCCAAGGCTGCGTACCAAGCATTGTGCCTCGCCGCCCACAGCTCGCTGCGCTTCTCAGCTTCCTTGGCCCAGGAGAAGTGAGAGCCCCCATTATCCTGAGTGATTGCCTCTGTAGTAGGAGCAGAAAGGCTGGTCCTTAGTCCTGTACCAGCACAGCCCAAGCCCTACTGCACTACCCTCCCGCTCCCCCCGACCCCCGACCCCCCAGCACACCTGTGCGCTGCAGCTGTTCGGCTAATGCCTGCTGGGAGCCATGGAACTCCAGGAAAAGGGTGGGTGCCACAGGGCAGTCCAGTTTGCTGTACCTGTTGCAGGCATCCATCATGACGTCATCCAGGAACTCTGGGACCAGGGAGAGGGCTGGTTAGGTGACGCCTTGGCGTTCTGTGCGGGCCTTTTCTGTAGAACCCACCCCCTACTGACCCAGTCGCTGCTAGCTCACCAATGCGGGCCACAGGCACTGCAGACTGGAGGATCTGAACTGTGCTGTCCACTGCAGCTTGAACACTGGGAAATGCACAGGTGGCTGCCACTGTGGCCTCAGGTGCAGGGTGCAGGCGCAGGGTGGCGGATGTAATAATGCCCAGAGTCCCCTCGGAACCCACAAAGAGTCCTGTGAGATTGTAGCCAGCCGAACTCTTCCTGGGCGCAGGGACACATAAGGTAGGTGAGTGCCCAAGACATGTGGGTGATTTCTGTCTAGAAGCCTAAAGCTAGAAGACGGGCGTGATCTCCCACAGCCCATCGTTATCAGTGTTTGGGATTTAATGGTCCAGGTAGGCCTTGCACAGGGGAGTCACTCACTGGGCCTCCAGACAGAGTTCCAGGGCCTTCGCGAGTATCCCTCACCCATCCAGGAGGCCCTGCGGCAAGGTCAGGCAGTGCTCACCTATAATGGCGACCGCGGCCTGCAGTATGAAGCAGCCTGCCGTCGGGGAGCACCACCTCCAGGTTGATGACGTTGTGGCGCATGGTCCCATAGCGCACAGCATTGGTGCCCGAGGCGCCAGTGGCCGCCATGCCACACAGAGAAGCATCGGCACCTGGGTCTAAAGGATAAAGTGCTGGAGAGGGCAACTCGGGGAAACTTTCCCTGTGGGAAAGATGTGGTCCTCTGAAATCCCCCAAACAGCCCTCCAAAGCCCTCCGGACCCTGAGGTTAGTCCCAGGCCTACCAACAGGAAACCAAAGGCCACTGTCTCGCAGGTGGGTATTGAGGGCTTTTCGGGTGACGCCAGGCTCCACCACCACAGAGAAATCTTCTGTATTCAGCTCCATGATTCGGTCCATATGGGTCAGGTTGATGCACACGCCACCCTGGTAGCAGGGATGCCGAGAAAGCTGCCCAACCTAGGTCTCTCTAGGTCAGGAGCAGCCCCTGGAACCCCATTCTGTGGCTGAGGCCCCTGGCAGTCATACCAGAGCTCTAGGATGACAGGTGGAGATAGCCATAAATGTGCTTTGTGTAATGGGACTAGACCCAGGACACCCCACTTATACCTGCACAGCACAGACTCCCCCTTCAACACCAGTGCCGGTGCCAAATGGGATGATGGGAACACCTTGGTTGTAGCACAGGGCTGCCAGTCGGCTGACCTGGTCCACATTCTGAGGCCACACCACAGCATCAGGAGGTTGACACCTGGAAGCAGGCAAGCCTCAGAAGTTTGGAAAGGTGTGGCATCCCCTCGCCCTCTCATTTCCAGGAACCTGGAGTTTTCCAAGGACCTGAGGACAGGGCCTCAGCAGATCGGGACAGAGACCATCTAAGGAGAATGCCACCGCATTCCAAACAGGTGGCAAGAGACAAGGACAGCCCAGGACCCTGGTCGCAGCAGCAGCAGCTCCTGATACCTGTGCATCGACTCATCATGCCCGTGATGCTCTCTGACGGCGGGAGCAGTGGACACATGGGGGCTCCCTACAACTGCCTTCAGAGACTCCACAAAGTCCTGGCTGAGTCCACCCTGCAGGGAAGAAACGGTACAAGGGTCATAGGAACGATAACGGGAGCCACAGCCCTGCCCTGTGGCAGGAGGCAAGAATGGGAGCTAGTCGGAGTGCAAAATGATGTCACAGAGCCTCGAGAACTTCACACCAGGCTCCCCGCCCTCCAGGACCCTGTCCACACATAGACATATACCTGTGACCCCCTGGAGCAGTAGCCCCTCCAGGGAGACAGCCTCTGGGTTGCCGCCCGAAGGAGCGTGGCCATAGTCAGACCGCAGCTAAGGTGAGAGTACTAGGAAGGGGAGGAGGCAGTGCCAGCCAGCCTCTCGCTGAGCCCAATGGCCGCACGGGGTGGAGCCTGCTTAATTAAGGTGGAGCTAGCTTAAGGTGGCCCATGCAGATCTGGAAAAAAAACAACAAAGAAACCCAGGACAGCAGCCGCTTTGGTGCCTTAAAAGTCCACCACTTCCTCTAGCCCTTCAAAAGCAAACTCTTTGTGTGGAGGCTTTAAAAGTCCCGCTGACTCCTCGGACTTCTCCATCCACACTTCCAACCTCCTCTTTGACCTCTAGGCTCTCTCTAGTTTCCCTTTTCATTCCAGAGCTCCGGCCGGGCTCATGACCTTGGCACATATACTGTACCCTGAGGAATAATGTGCCTGTGTCTGAAACAGGTATCACAAACAGGGATCAAGGTCCGAAGGCATTCAGTTAATATCAGACAACTGAGGATATGAGCCATTTCTCCATGTCTCTTGGCCTTGGTTACTTTAGAAGGGCTGGCATGGTGATTTTGTTTTTTGTTTGGTTTTGTTTTTCGAGACAGGGTTTCTCTGTCCTGGATCTCGCTCTGTAGACCAGGTGATTCCATTTTTTTGTAGGCTTTGACAGGGTGTCTTGCTACAAAGTCCAGGCTGGCCTTAAAGTCACAATCTTCCAGCCTCAGGCTCCCAAGTGCTAGGGTTAGGTTACAGGCAAGCACTTACATGTCCAATGTGACTTCAATTTTGACATTTCTCCCATCTCTGAACAGTGTTTCCCTGAAGACATCACCGATTTTCTGATGGTTTGATCTCAACACAAGGATGAGATCTGTTCTGTTTGGTCTGACCGGATCCATGTTTTGGGCAAAGGGAGCAAGGTGTTGTGGTGATTTGAATGAGCCCCATAGGCTCATGTATTTAAATTCTTCATCCCCAGTTGGTGGAACTGCTTGAGAAGGATTAGAAGGTGTGGCCTTTTTTGAGGAGGTGAGTCACACATTCCCAGTTAGTTCTCTCTACGTCTCCTTGCCTCGTGCTTGTGGATGAGATGTAAGCTCTCTGCTGCTGCACCAGTGACAAGGCTGCTGCCTGGCAACTGCCACACTCCCTGCCATTATGGTCATGGTCTTAGCCTCAGAACTATAAACCCCCAATAAACTCGTTCTTCTATGAATTGCCTGGTTGTGGCATCTCATCACAGCAATAGAAAAGTAACTAAGACAGATGCCAAGGAGTTAATGCCAATAAAAGCCTTGATGATCAATTTCAAACAACTGATGGGTATGGAAGAAGTGCCTCTTAGGTCAGGCATGCCTGGAACCCACCCTGTGGTTTGTCCTGTGGTAAGATCTTGGGATTTCAAAAATTGAGCTCAGGTGAAATTTGGTGGCTTGTACCTTTAATCCCAGCACTTAGGAAGCAGAGGCAGGAGGGTCTCTGTGAGTTCAAGGCCAGTCTGGTCTACATAGTGAGTTCCTGGACAGTCAGGTCTATGGAGAGAGAGAGAGAGAGAGAGAGAGAGAGAGAGAGAGAGAGAGAGAGAGAGAGAGAGAGAGAAGAGTTTCAGGCAAGCCAGGGTTACATAATGAGATCATGTCTTAAAAAAAGAGGTGGTGGGTGATGAGGGTGTGGGGAAATACCGGTTTTTAAAAAAATGCAGTCAACAAGAGCTGAAAATTAAGTGCTTATTTAAATATGTACTCCATAGGTGACCAGTGTCTGATGCTTTTTTTAATTGTTAAGAAGCACTGCTCGGAGTACACAGTAGCAGTGAACATCTTAGCTTAAAGAGGATAGCCAGGAGAGCTGGGGAATGGCTCAGCTTGATGCTGGCACCAAGCCTAGCAACCTGGGTTCCATCCCCAGGACCCACAGGGCGGAAGAAGAGGATGGACTCCCCCAAGCTGTCCTCTGACCTCCATAAGCATGCTATAGCACATACACATGCACGAGCATGCATGGGTGTGCACATGCACGCGATCTCTCTCTCTCTCTCTCTCTCTCTCTCTCAAGATTTTTTCTTTGCCTCAGTTCCCAGAATTAACATTTGAAAGTACCAGGATTTCATTTAGTTAACATCCCAGCTAGACCTAACATGTAAAAAGTTCTGTAT